ATTCCAGTACACACATAATCACAAGCTTGATTGGTGAGGTCTGTAGTCTTCCATAGTGGTAAACCAGCAGCTTTTCTGTCAAAGAGTAGACTCAACATGGGACAGGTGTCAGAAGTCAACAACTTTGTCAACTAGAGAGAGCAAAATGGTAGAAATAAACAAGTTAAAATATCACAGCTGTGATATTTGGTGGTTATGATCCCTGCTAGTGAGAAAAAAGTGGGACCAGCTAAGATTCTAACTAGAAAATCCTCGAAATGAGAAAAGTGTAAAAGAACTAGACAAGTTCTCTATACATTCCTCACTGACTGGGAAAAAGAAGCAAACCCTATGGAAAAGTAAAAGTTAAGCCAGCCTGACTGACCTCTGAATATACTCTTTAACCCACAAACAGATGAGGTCTCAGAGGGGGAGACACAGGCTAAGTCAAATATTAAAAGTCAAAGACAAAAATTCTGAAAACAAAAAGAAAACTTATGTAGAGGGCAACAGCAATAGAATTGGCAGTTGGCTTCTAGTTGCTGAATGACAACAAAATGGCCAAGGAAGAATTATATATCCAGAAAATTAGCTGTCAAGTATGAAGGTGAAATAAAAGCAATCCCTGATAAACAAAAATTAAGGTACATGTTGCTAGAAGGCCTATCTTATAGGAAATACTAAGAGAAGTCCTTCAAGCTATAAAGAATAATACCAGATGGGACGTCAAATCCACAGGAAGGAATGAAGCGTAGCAGAAATGGTAAATATGTGGTGAAATATAAAAGGCTGTGTATATTATATACATATTTTCTTAAGTTATTTATAGAGGCATGTGATTATTTAATGCAGTTAATAGCATTAAGATTATGACAGATATATATGAGAACAATAACACAAACAAGGATAAAGGAAATGTAACTTGTTGGTGCAAAAGTGCAACCACCCATACTAAAAGAGGAAAATAAAGACAAAGAAATTCTAATACTACACCAAAGAATGTTTAACCCAAAAAAAAGCTGTAAAAAAGGGGCAAGGAAACAAAAAAAATGAGACATAACTGCTAGCAAAATGTCTGGCATGAAATCACTCATACCAAAATTACACTAAATATGAATATAGGAAAGACTCCACAGAGTAGAAAACTTATTAGAAAACTAGACTGGGTATGAAATATTACTAAAAAAATATTGTTTGGTTTTGTCAGCAAAGGTAAATTTTATTATTTTTAAGTCTTCCTCTGTTAGAGACTTAAATATTTATGGGTAAAATTATGTACCAATAATTTGTATTAAAATGCTGTAGAAAAAATACTTCTGTTTCTGATGAATTACTGATCGTATGAGTATTTTTGAAATTTATCAAAATAAAACTTTTAAAAATATATCTTATCCTTCCTGTGACTGAGATTCCTCAGGCTTGTTTGTCCTTTTGATGGGTCTTCTGAGCGCTTTTTTGCTTTTTTTAAGAGCAAAATGCTTCAGATTCATTTTCTACCTTACTCTTTATATTAGCTGTCTATTGCTAAGTAGAAATTTACTTCAAACTTACAGGCTTAAAACAATAAGCCTTCATTATTTCACAGTTTTGTGAGTCAGTAACTTGGATGTGACTTACCTTCTTTGGGTGTAGGGTCTTTCACAAGGTTACAGTTAAGATGTTAGCCAGAGCTTAAGCATCTGAAGGTTTGATTGTTAATTTAATACTTCCATAATGGTTTACTCACATGGCTGGCATTTTAGTTTTGACTATTGGTAGGAAGCCTTAGATCCTCACCATGTGGACTTCTGAGTAGGACCATTTGAGTGTTGTCGTGCTATGACAGCCAGCCTCCCCCAGAGTCAATGATCAAAGAGAGAGTAGAACAGAATTAATGATCTAAAAGAGGGTAAGGCAGGCACTTCTGTGTTTTTTATGACGTAGACTGAAAAATCATACATCATCATTTCCACAATATCATACTGCTTACACAGCAACAGCCTTACTCATTGTGGAAAGAGACTATAAAGAATTACCGTATGGAGACAGGGGTCATTGGGAGGTCTTGTGCTAAGAGTATTCACTGTCAATTGCTTATCATTTTTCCTAGATATTTTTAGTAGATGAAGGTAAATATATCTATTTTACTGTATATATATGAAAATCATATTTGTATTGATATTTAAATTAGCTTAATAGTATTTTCCCCTCTGATATTTTACCCTTTTTTGGGGGAGGGGGAATATGTAACATCCACATAGTTAAAATTCAAATCCATATGAAAGTATATATTTAGAGAAGTCTTACATATTTCCTTATAAGACCCCATTCCTACCAGTAGCCATTTTTATTTGTTTCTGACTTATCCTTCCAATACTTGATTTTGCAAATAAAGGTAAATGCATACATATACAAAAAGATGTCTTATTCGACATCCTCCTCCCTCTTAATTTCTTATAAAAGAAAAAAAACTTTAAAAAACTTTAAGGCCCCCTCTCCCCTCACTGTGGTGTAGTGGTTGAGTGCAGGGTTGCAAAGCTACCCACAGCCTCTCCAGCGCTGGTTCAATCCCCGGCCAGCCACTGAGCAAGGGTCCCACATGGCACGCAGACCTCTCCTGCAGCCCGCTGCTCCCCTTAGCAGTGTACTTCGTCACTCTGCCTGTTCTCTCCGCTCTGGCTCTGGTGAATTCTCTCACCCTCCTGCACTTCTGACTCTACCAGTGCTTGTATAAATAAGTAAATAAATAAATAAATCTACATCTGAAAAAAAACAAAAAAACTTTAGGGCCTCCCTGATGGCGCAAGGGGTTAAGCACAGCATTGTGAAGCTGTCCGCAGTCTCTGCAGCACAAGTTCGATCCCTGGCGAGCAGGGAGTTACCCACATGGCACAGCAGACCTCTCCTGCCTCGCCCACTGCTCCCCTCAGCAGTGTATTTCAGTCAGTATGCCTGTTTTGTTTCCCACTCTGACTCTGGTGAATCCTCTCACACCCCCCCACACCTCTTGCTTGTACCCCAGTTCTTGTATGCATAATCTTTAAAAAAAAAAGATAAAAGGTTCAAACTTCATACAGTGTTCTGCAACTTACACTTTCTTCTAAAAATATATCCTGGATATCATCCTAGTATAATTTGAAGATCTTCATTTTCTTTGACTACATAGTTTACATTATGTGGATATTGTGAGAGTCTTATGAGAGTCTTGGATTATTGCCAGTCTTTTGCTGTTTGAAATCATGTGAATAAATTTGTGTCATTTCATATTTGTACCAGATGTGTTGGTGGGATAGATTTATAAAAGTGGAATCATTAGGGCCTCCCGGTAGCGCAGTGGTTGAGCGCTGGATTGCAAAGCTACCTGCAGCCTCCGCAGCACCGTTTGATCCCTGGCTGCTCCCCGGGCACCGGAGGAGGGTCCCACATGGCGGGCAGACCACTCTTGCCGCCCGCTGCTCCCCTCAGCAGTGTTCTTCGGTCCTTCTACCTGCTCTGCTCCCCGCTCTGGCTCTGGTGAATTCTCTCACCCTCCCGCGATTCTGACTGTACCCAGTGCTTGTATAAATAATAAATATATCTTTTAAAAAAAAAAGTGGAATCATTAGGACAAAGGAAAAATACGTACACAATTTTGTTAGATATTGGCAAATTCCCCCATTCATAGGTATTAATGACATTTTTGACATTTTATCAGAGGTATTCCAAGGGTTAAATGAAATAAAAGAGAGAGTGTCCAACATATTGATCATTTATCAAAGATAGCTATTTCCCTAAAATCAATATTTTTAGGCCTTTCTCAAATTAATTTCAAGTCTTAATATCCTTAGTACATTCCTAAGCTTATAGTCCATTTTATATTTAGTCCCTTTGTTGCTTTTTGTGTCATCTAAACACAATGCTTTGTAAATTTTTCCAAAGTGATATATATGTCTATGAGATTTGTCACTTACTCTCAGACATTGGAGCTCACATTTATAAGTTAAGATATATAATGGAATGTTTCTGTTCTATAAAACCATTCAATATTATGAAGGTACATTCCTCTAAGATAATAACAAAATGCATAATACTTTGGAGAAATGGTTAATTAAGCTTGAACTTTAATAGTTCATTTTTGGAACCTATGGTTTAACTAGTTGAATATAGGCTAAGGCAATGAGCATTATCAGTTTGAATTTATCCCATGACCACAGGCCAGCACCCTGTCTTGATTATTGCCTTAACAGATTTATAATCTTAGTCAGAAGGAGAATCAAATATAAAGCAGTCCAGAGAAATTGTTAGTAATGCTTTAAAAAGTATGCAACAATTCATTAACTACTGATTTTTTTTAAGTAACTTTCTGGAGTATTTATAGAAGTATGTGCTAAACATAGAAGAGATCAGTGTTAACATTGAGATTAAAACTCTAGAAAACATCTCCATTGATTCCTTATTTTTATATTCATAACTCGTATAGAAATGTTTTTATTTACTCTACACCAATAGTAATTTATCTAAAGTTTAGTGATTCTGAAGTAGCTATTTAAGGATATAGTGTATTTTAACTAAAAGTTTGTATAGAACTGGATGTATTTAGGGCCTCCCCTGGTGGTGCAGCCGTTGAACATGGGGCTGAGAGGCTGCCCGCTGCCCGCAGCCTCTGCAGCACTGGTTGGATCCCCGGCCACCGGCGGGGGTCCCACATGGTACCACAGACCTCTCCTGCCACCCACTGCTCCCCTCAGCAGTGTATTTTGTCAGTCTGCCTGTTCTGTTCCCCGCTCTGGCACTGGTGAATTCTCTCACCCTCTGTGCTTCTGACTGTACCCAGTGCGTGTGTGTGTGTGTGTGTGTGTGTGTGTGTGTGTGTGTGTAAATAAATAAATAAATCTTTTTTAGAAAATAAAAAAAAAACTGGATATTTTACTTTAGTAGTTTGTTAATAAGCTCCCCTTAAAATTCAGTTACCTTATCTGCTAACTTATAATTTTGTGTAATGGTTTAGAATTACAAATTTTACAAGACAGTCTTGTTCTTTGTCCATTTAAATTTGTTTCTAGGTGCTAACTGCCAAAGAAAGGAAAACTCAATTGATGATAGAAACAAATTGACTGAACATTTTATCATCACACTTCCTATGTTGCTATCAAAGGTACAATTTCATTTACATTTTTTGTGATAATGCCACTGAAATTGCTTATTGCATTGCAGTATTAGTTACCTCTCTTTGTCTTTGCTTCTCCTTCTAGTATTCTGCAGATGCAGAGAAAGTAGCAAACTTGCTACAAATCCCACAATATTTTGATCTAGAAATTTATAGCACAGGTAGAATGGAAAAGGTAAGACACTCATAATGTTCTGCTGTTATAATAATCCAGTTATTAACTGGATTATTCTGTTTTCATGTAATTATATAAGCTTTTTTTTTAATTTAACAATTGAGTTACTGAATTATTAATCTATTTTTTCCCCTTCAGCATCTGGATGCTTTATTAAAACAAATTAAGTTTGTTGTGGAGAAACATGTAGAATCAGATGTTTTAGAAGCCTGCAGTAAAACCTATAGCATCTTATGCAGTGAAGAATATACCATCCAGAACAGAGTTGACATAGCTCGAAGTCAGCTGATGATGAGTTTGTAGATCGATTCAATCATTCTGTGGAAGACCTACTACAAGAGGTTTGTTGTGAAGTTAATGTGTGCATATACTTTTGCATGATTATTCAAGGTAGCTACATTTGTAAATCATTTCCATTTTAAAATAAAAACTATTACAATTCTTCACCCCTTTCAAGTTAGTGTTATCATTGTTGCTCACCTTGTAAAGAATGACCTTTGTTATATTTTTTTAAGTCAGTTTCATAATAGCTAAGTTTTTCTCTTTTAAGAAAAATCTTTTAATGTCTAGATTTTCTTACCATTTTCTATGAATGGGATCTGATTTGCATTTTTATATTACTGAATTATGATGTGCTAATTAATGTAACTTAAAAATTAAGTGTGCTTATTATAAGGGATGCCTGCTTACCAGTAGTGTTCCCAAAATAACAGCAAGTATATCCAGCTGTTATTTTTGTAAGTATTTCTGTGATTCCTACCTTTTATACTCTCCCTGCAACCTATATATGGCAGTCTGGAACCCCCACAGCTTTCTATATTCTGAAGACCAGAGTGTTAGAATTTTCTTTTTAATCCATGTACCTGACTTTTTTCCCTACATAAACTTCAGTTTAATGTATTTAAACTTCTAATTTTTTCAAGCATTTTTTATTTTTCATTGTGATTTCAAAGCTAAAGAATTGACAATCAGTAAAATTCTTTGAAATAACCATTAAAATCTTTAAAGTATATAACATTCATTCAACAGTTTTTAAGGGATTTAATATTACTGAATTATTATGTTGTGCAGTGAATGTGACATAACTTTGTATACTTTAGGAAGCATTACTTCGAAAACTATACACAGTCACATTTATATGACATTGTTTAAAATGTAAAAAATGGTTGTCCTTGGGTGTTGGGATTATGGACATGAAGGGTGGGGGTTTTTTATTTACCTACAGTGAATATTTACTATTTATATTTTTTTAATGGAGTTTTTCTTTAGGCTGTCTGTGTTAATACATTTTGAGAATGAGAAAGTTATAATAATGACTTGATGTCTACCTTTTTATCAATAGGGAGAAGAAGCTGATGATGATGACATTTATAATGTTCTTTCTACGTTAAAGCGGTTAACCTCTTTTCACAAGTATGTTTTTTTATTTAATGTAGATTAAGTGAATAACATGTTAACCAACATAAAACAGATTGTAATGTTTAACATCCATACATCAATAGGAAATTTAGAGAAGTGTTCAGATGGTGTGGTGTTTAGTATTTTACTTAAATTTTTGAACATAAATTAAGGGTTTTTATTATAAATTGATACTTAAGGATTAAGGTTGATAATTCAGTTTCAGGAACATACACAATAAAAGTTTAAGTTCATCCGTTATATCAAGTTAGATGAACTTATTTTATAACCTAGAATTTTATAGAAATCTTACTGAATAAAAAATGAGATGGGGAAAGCCATGGAGTTATTTGTATGAGCTCTTTTTCCTGAATTGTTCTTGTTTGTAATTTTCTTACTTACTATGTAGACCACCCAGTTGAATTTGAATAAGGGAAAAAAAGGCTCAGATCAGTGAAACAAGTATCATTTTCAGTGTAATTCTCATGTTCTTTATAATTAGGCATGCTTTTCCATAAAAAAGAAAATAAAGAACTTTGTTGTCAAAAGAACATCTTAGTATACCCCTTACTTTAATGAATTTTTCAGAGATCATAAACAAATATATTTGTTTGGAATTACATGGAGAAACAAACTGACCTTAAAATAAAGTTTTGATATTTGAAAATAAAATTCAGTGACCTGCATCAAAACAATTTCAAAAAGCACTTTGATTTGAAAATAAAAGTTGATTGCCAGTGATCTAGTTTTCAGTAGTAAACTCATGATAATTTAAAATACCAGCCTTGAAATTAATTGCAAATAATAAATAAATGTCAGTATTTTCTCATTCAGAAGTCCTCAGCCCATGTAAATAACTAAAGTTTTTGAGGTTTACCATTTTTCTGTTTTCCTGATTTTGTCTATCTCCATCTTGTGAATACAGAGTAGACATGTATTTACACTTTGAAATTGTGAATGGATTTGTTTAAATATATTTTAAAATGTAGTGGGGGGGGGGAGTTGACTTACTAGGATATTTTATAATGGATTTAATTTGAAAATGAATCAGTAGAACAATTACACCACTTATGGAATATGAGCTTGGGTTAACCATGTGGCAGTAGCCTTCACTTGAACACTATTGCTCATCTCTTAATGATTTCTGGATTCTTTTAATGATTGCATACTCTGTCATGCTTCCTTTCCTTTATATCTTTTACTTTGCCCCTTCCCTTTCTCCCTCCTTCCTTATTTCTAAATTGGAGCACTTAAAACATTTCCTCTATGTTTCTTTTTTCAAGTTTTCAAGAAAATTAAGTTATTTTTCCACACACTGAAACTGAACACAAATTTAAGTTAAATGTACTTTAATGATTTTATTTAAGAAGTTAAATAATTTTTTTAATAAGTTAAATAAAATTAATGTATTTTTGGACTTTTTTTTAGTGCTCATGATCTCACAAAATGGGATCTGTTTGGTAATTGCTATAGATTATTGAAGACTGGAATTGAACATGGAGCTATGCCAGAACAGGTAGGTTTTGTTGATATACCTTCTATGTCATTTTTGAAAGCTACACTTTTCTGAGATCACGTAAGATTATCAAAAACCTTTCATAGAATGTAGTTGATAATATTTTAATGCAGTTGACTCCTTTGAGAATTACTGTCATGGTGATTAGATTGTGGTTTTTTTTTTTTTGGTGGGAACCTCGCCAGCAGCCTGGGAATGAACCGGCGCTGCAGAGGCTGCGGGCAGCCTCACAGCCCAGCGCTCAACCGCTGTGCCACCCGGGGAGGCCCCATCGTGATTAGATTTTATTGAGAGGTGTATTTTGTCTTCAGATTGGAACAGAAAATAATAGAGTAGTATGACTATAATCTATCTAAAATTTTTAATATAAGGTAAACATTATTACTCCTTTAGGGAAATACCATTAGTTATAATAGTAGCAATTTCAAAATTTGATTGGTGGAATGTAATGAAAATTTCTGATCATGGCTGTATTCCAGGCACTGTTCTAGCTATAATAATAATAAACTTTAGGTATGACTTAATTTTTGCAGAACCATAATTAAATAAGCTTGAGGGCCTTTAGCAGATCTTAGAATTCTGCACTCACCTGTAAATTGGAGTGAACTGGGCAAGAATTCAACCAACTTTCTCTAGCCTAGAAGAGCACTTAGTATAGTTCCTTAATATTCAACTTCATTCTATAAACTGCAATCATCTGTTGTTAAGAAATGAAAAGTTATTTTGTACACATCAGGCACTCATGTAGACTAAAATAACAGCCCTGTCGTCATGCATAGTTGGGTATTCAAGGATAATCTCACTAATATTCATATTACCATTTGGTAATATGAAATGCTTATAGGATAATTCATTACACTAAAGCAGTAAGAATTTCAGCAATACAAAAATTATAATTTCATATTAAAAGTTAATCATAGAAAAGTGCTTTATATTTGTTTATGATTAATTCTTCTAAGATGCCTGACAGTGTGTTTTTGATCCCCACTTGATGTAACTTCCTCTCTTAATAACAAATGTCACTTATTATGTTAGGTGGTCTTAGGATAGTTTGTGAAAAGAGGCTAAATATTGACCCTGTTGTTTTTCTTCATTGATTGTTGACTCTCAGCTTCCATCCGTCCTTCATTCTAGCTTTTCAATAACCTAGGTAAAAATTCACTGATATCTTTGAGGTATGGCTTCAAAGTTGAAAGGGAGTGATAGAACTAAAATATTTCCCTTCTTGGTTTCCTGTTTTCCCTCTAACACATCTCATCTGAGGGTTATAAGTGGCTGAATTTACTTTTTTAATTCACTACACCATATTTTCTTATAATGGACGTGTATTTTTTACGTTATTTTTTTGTTATTTTTTTTCAGACACAGTCTTTTGGTTTCTGTTATTTTCACTGCATGTGTGTTATTTACCCTATTTTAATTTCTTTGAATAAGGGACATATGTATGTGACATTTACTGGGACTTCATTAAATTCTTGGGCTCATATCTTAAATTTCAATCATGTTTTGTGAAGTTTGAATGCAGCACTATGAGGTTGTAATGTCATGTTAGCAAATTAAAAATTATTTAGCCAGCTCTTTGAAACATCTCTTTATATACCCCAGTATTAGAATTCCAAAAACCAAATCAGCAATTCCCTTTGATCATGCCAATCTCGTTTTTTAAATTTCAACTCTATATTTCAGTTAGAATCATGAGAGAAAAATTATTTTAGAATAAGGATATCAAAGAACTGCCAAATTGCTCACTATTGTTAACCCTCAGTTTGTTTAGCATTTTGAAATGATCTTAAAATTTGCTAGCTATTTGGGGAACGGTATTATCCATATCCTTGACTATTTTCTGTAGTAAACTGGTTCAACTCAGTTCTTCAATTAAATGAATTTTTCCTCCTTCCCCACACCCTTTCAGTGATCCATCTTTCCTCATGCTGGTACTGTTTTACTATTATAACTTTCAAATATAAAGCCCTATTTGGCTTTTATTATGTTGAGATATGTCCTTTTATCCCAAATTGGGTTTTTACCCCCCCCACACAGATGTCTAACTTTTAATTAAATGCTTTCTTGGCATCTATTGATATATCATATGGTGCTTATCTTTCTTTGTTGATGTAGTGAATTAAGTTGACTGACTTGCATATTGAATCACCCTGTATCCCTGGAATAAATCCCACTCGATCATAGTGTATA